TTGAACAATCTATAGAATCTACATTCTCAGCCAATCTTTTGAGAAGCTGGACCCTGTGAAGAACAACATGGCGTCAGGATAAGAGGAAGACTCATCAATAACCTGCTTTATGCAGATGACACAATCTTGGCTTCCTGAAAGTTAGGAGGACTTAAAATGCTTACTATGGAAGATCAAAGACTACAGCCTTCAGGAGGATTGCGTCTAAAAGCCAAGAAGACAAAAATCCTTACAACTGGATTTAAAAGCAACATCATGATGGATGGAAAAATATTTGAAATTGTCAATGACTTTATCTTACTTGAATCTACAATCAAGAGAAAACACGAGAGAGGAATAATACATTTATCCCATCAAAACCTCAGAAGGAACCACTCAGTTAACAACATGAAGAAAGAAATCCTGACCACCCCTGCCCCATCCTCAGTCTCTGCAATCCCTGCTTTTCTTAAACCCACTGGTACAGCCACTGTGTCAGTCCATCTCCCTGAGGGTCTTCCTCTCTTTCACTTACCCTTCATTCTCAAATATATTCTTTTCAAAGGACTGTTACCTCTTTATAACATGCCCAAAATATGTAAGACAAAGTCTAGTCATCCTTGCTTCTAAGGAGTAGCCTGGCTGTATTTCTTCCAAAGAAATGCATTTGTTTTCAATTGATAATTATTGGGACATACTGTCAAGTTGGAACCAACTCATATTTGACTATCCAGAGAGTTTTCAGAGGCTGTAAATTGCATGAGAGGAGATTGCCCATCTTTCTCCCTTTGAGAAGCTAGTGGATTTGTACTGTATGTCTTTAGGTTGATATTGTAACTTCCTACCCTCTAGACCACCAGAGCTCTAGTCCATGGCATATTCAATAATATCTACAATATCTCCAATAGTGCTAGGCATCAGTATTTGATCATCATTATTTCTCGTCCAATTTCCTCATGCACATGAAGCAACTGAAAATACTAAGGAGGCCTAGTGAGTAAGAAATTGTGCTGCCAATCCAAAGACAGGTGCTTTGAATGAATCAAATATTCTGCAGAGAAAAATGAATCACAATCACTTCCTATGCAATTTACAGTCTCTGAACATCCACCTAAGGTCAACTTTGAGACTGTTCTAGATCAATGCTGATTAGGTCATGTTTCAGTCAGGCTTACCCTAATCTTTAACTTGACATTCTTATTTTGGGGCACTTTAAAGAGATTCTTGGCAATAGATTTGCTTAAAGTAATATGCTATTTTACTGCTATTTTGTTTTTAACTTCTATTTTCTTTTTAACTGCTCTATTGTGAATAAAGATTGTGTACATAAGAAAAATAAAATTCTTGATTATTTTAATTTTTTATATATACGTAATGATATTGCATATTGGTCCAGTCATTAGAATTTTTGTTTTCAGCAGGCAAAGTATGGAATCTGCTTATTGAAGGAATTTAATGGACTTTCCTCCAGTCCTCATGCTCTGGTCTTCCTCAGATAATCCATCTTCTCTGATTATTTGATCCATATACAGATTGTATTGGGAAAACCTGTTATCACAGACCTCTCCAAAGTGCTAAATAAAGACGTCCGTTTAAAGACTAAAGATCCAAACCATGTCTTGTCAATTCTTTCCTATGCATCTGAAAATTGGTTCATGAATATGGGTGACAAAAGAAGAATCCATGCCCTTTTAAATTGTTATGTTGGAGAAAAGTACTGAATAGACTGGCAAAAAAAAAACAACAACACCCAACAGAGTGCTCCTTAGAGGGAAGAAAAGTAAACCTTAATTTCACATAATTGAAACATGTTGTCATGTTGTTGTTGTTATGTGCTGTTGAGTCACTTGTAACTCGCAGCGACCATATATACAATAGACCTGAAAACTGCTATATCATGTGCCAACTTTACTGTCTCTGACACACCTACCTTCACTACCTTAGTGACTGAATCAATCCATCTTATTGATGGTCTTCCTCTCTTTCTCTGTCCCTCCACTTTTCCAAGCATGATGTCCCTCTCCAAGGACTGGTCACTCCTTAGTACATGCCCAAAGTATGTCAGATGAAGTTTCAGAATCCTTGCCTCCAAGGAGTAGCCTGGTCTCAGCCTCTCCAGGACAAATCTGTTTGTTCTCCCAGCAGCCCATGGTGTATTTGATACTCTTCTCCAGCAACACATCTCAAAGGCATCAATTCTCTTTCTATCTTCCCTAGTCATTGTCGAGCTTTTTGATGCATAGCAAGTAATTGCAATGTTGTCATAAGGAAGGGGAAGCCCTTGGAAAAAGGTAGTACTTTGGAGAAAGTAGAAAGTCAGAGAAAGAAAGGAAGATCCTCAATGAGATGAATTGATAAAGTAACTGGGCTTGAGCCATCAGAAACTGTGAAGCTGGTACAAGATTCCAATCTGGTAAAACGTTCTAATCTTTTGTTCATAAGGTTGCCTTGGGCAGTAGTAGACTGGACAATACCTAACAACAACATACAGATTAAATAAGTACACTGAAAGGATACAACCTTGACAAACATATTTCCTGATTATACTATGCAGTTTCTCCTTGTTATGTTCAAATGTCTACTTCTTGTTCTGTGTACAGATTTCTTATGACCACATTTACATGCTCTGGAATTCTCTTTCTAACTCCTACACTTGTGAATGTGATTGTTTGCAACTAGGATCTATGAAGATATTTTCCAATAAGTTACGATTAAGTCATCCTGGAACAGAATGAGTTCCATCGGCATTCTTAAATGAGAAAAAGATAGAACTGGACACAGAGAGACAAATGATGCTATGAATATTACAGAATATTTCTTTGTGCTGTGTTCTTCATATCGTGCTGACTTCTCCCCAATTGTGTATCAGGTTTCCCTCTACAATGATCAATACATATCTATGATTTAGAGAGTGACTCCCCTGCCTACCTCTCCCATCCTATGTAATTATCAAAGAATATTTCCTTCTGCATGTATCCCTATTCTTGACTTTCTGCAATAGTGGTAAATAACATATATTCTCTTAGGCTTGACTCATGTCATTCATTGGGAGGAGGAGCGGCTTCCACTTCCTAGACAACATGCCCCTGGACTCTGTGAACTTTGATAAATGTCGATAGTTATAGAACAGCTCCAGGCCTTTTGCTCATGGGGTCACTATGAGTTGTGCTCAACTCGAAGGCAATCAACGACAACAATTTCATTCAATATGCTGTCACCCAGACACATGCATAAAACCTGCATGACGAGGCATTTCATGGATCTTGGTTGTTCTTTATTGCTTGGTAGAAATTCATTGTATGTATGAATTACAATTCATTTATCCATTCATCCTTTGATTGACACTAAGGTGTCTCTATCTTTTTGTTATATAAAGAAAGCTGCAATAAACCTGAGTGTGCATATGTATATGCCTATAACAGCTTTTACGTTTTTAGAATATGGCTAGGAGTGAGATTGTTAGATCACATAGTAGGCATTTCTATTTCTACCTTTTTTTGGAAGCACACAACCATTTTCTGTAGTGGTTACACAGTCTCCTCCAGCACTGGCGTGGTTCCTAGTGACCTGTGTTGCTAATCCAAAGGCTGTGCTTTTCTGGAAGTTCAAATTGAAGGTTGAAGAAAGATGAGTATTCTACTCTATGATTCTAGCCTATGATTTACAGACTCAGACACTCAACATAGGATCGCTATGAGCCAGAGTCATCTCTACAACAACTTGCATTGGAATTTGAGTTTGACCAGAAGTATATAAATATTGCTCCCCAAACTTTCTAATAGTTACTGCTTTCTGCATTTTTCACTAGTGTCAATATTATCTTGTACATAAGGTATCTCATTTCAGTTTAGATGTGTGTCTCCGTAATGGCTAATAAACCTAAGGGTCTCTTCATGGTTCATTGCCACCTGATTGCCTTTGTTAGTGAGGTGTCTATTGATATTTTTAGCCCATTTTTAATTATATTGATTGTATTTTACTACAAATTGATAGAAAACATGCTTTTTACAAATTTAAGAAATTGTCAGATAGTTTATTACTATATTTTCCCCCAGTGTGTATGTTTTTGTTTCACCTTTTATTGGGGAAAACTTTTGATGGTCATAAGTATTTAATTTTCTTATAAGTCTCAGCTATCAAGTTAAGCTTTGATTGCTGTTGTCATTGTGTGTGTGCATCTTAGTTTTGTGTCATAATCTGTTTATGTCCTAGATTAGGATGCTAAATTGTTTCCATTATTTCTTCTAGGAACATTATAATTTTAGGGTTAATATTTAGGTCTTTGATTCATGTTGAGTTAGTTCTTGTTTATGGTGTGAAGTGTGGCTTTTGCTTCATTTATATCTATCTCTGTCTATCTATCTATCTATCTATCTATCTATCTATCTATCTATCTATCTATCTATCTATCTATCTATCTATCTTGTGGCCTAGTGAAAAAAAAGCTGTACTGCAATCGCTATGCTGCGCAGTTTGAAGCCACCAGCTGCTCCGTGGGAAAAGAATAAGCAAACTCCTCCCAAGTGATTAATTGCCTCTGAAAACCTTCTGAAGGGTCTGCTATGGGTTGATTCTGACTCTATGGTACACAACAACACATCTACACACACACACACACACACACACACACACACACAGTAGAATTGAGCAACAGATAGAACATTTAAAATAATAAACAGGACATTTTAAATCTTTCCTTGGCCTAAAAAATTTGTTCTAAATGCTAGTTAAATTTTTTTACTCAATTATATGATTGCACATTTCCTAAAGTAGATGGGTTTTACTTTAGAAAAGGAAAAAATAGTCGCGTATGCACGTGAACTATAAAATTACAAAGTGACATAACATAGTTTCAGCTGTAACAGGAAAAATACCTACTTATTCTTTCAACCTCTACACTTTTTCTATTAGAGGATTTCTAAACTCAAAGAATAATTCATTTTTTCATGTTGGATGTTTTTGCATCAATCAAAGAAACCTTTTTAGAGACTCCATTGAGTCGTCATGATCCTTCTGATCATTCATTGTCTGCGTGTTGCTTTAGAATTAGCAACGGTGTGTTCATTACGGGCAAGTACTCTTACCCTACTTCCGGTGAGCTTTTTACTCCAAAGCCTTTTCATAGCATTTTTCATTTCAGAATTCCTAAAGGTGTATATTATAGGATTCAACAGAGGAGTGAATACTGTAAAAACTACACACAAGGACTTGTCAATGGGAAAGTTAGCCACTGGTCTGACATACATGAAAATACAGGGGACAAAAAACAGGATGATCACCGTGATGTGGGAGCTGCAGGTCGACAGGGCTTTAGTCCTCCCTTCCTGACTGTGAGTCTTCAGAGCATTTAGAATGACACCGTAGGATATCAGCAGAAGGAGAAAGATCACCATACAGATGGCTCCACCATTGGCAACCACAGTGAGACCTACAAAATAGGTGTCAGTGCAAGCCAGTTCCAGCAAAGGGTACATGTCACAGATGAAGTGATCAATGATATTAGGGCCACAGAAAGGCAGGCTGTACACAACGAGAATTTGAACCAAAGAATGTGTAAAACCTCCAACCCAGGACAACATCAGCAACAGAATGCAAACCCGTCTATTCATGATGGTCAGGTAGTGGAGGGGCTTACAGATGGCCACCAGGAGAAAAACCTCAGCACCGCCGAAAGAGTGAGCTATAAAAAGCTGGCCCATGCAGGCTGAGAAGGAAATAGTCTTTTTAGCACGAAGCAAGTCTGCAATCATTTTGGGGGAAATGGCGGTGCAGTAAACGGCATCCATGAGTGAGAGATAGGCAAGGAAGAAGTACATTGGAGAATTTAAGGCGGGGCTGAAAAGAACAGTCACCACAATAAGCAGGTTGCCCGCCATGGTCACAACGTAGATGAACAAAAACATGACAAATAACGCTTTTTGGAGCTCCATATTTTTAGTGAGTCCCAGGAGGATAAATTCTGTTACATTGTTACTCTGTCCCATTTACTCTCTCTCCTATAGGAACTGTTTCAGAGATGATCACTTAGAAAAACAAGACCTGTAATGAAATCATGACATACTATTATATATCTGCAAAACCATGTACTTCACTGTGTGTCTCCTCTGACTATTTGTACATAATGAACATTTAGAAATATCTATTTTCTATTTCAATTCCCAGTATAACTTTCTTGACAATTCTTTTCCTTCTCAAATAAGTGCATTAAAATTCACACACACACACACACACACACACACACACACACAAATATATCTATATAAGGATTCTGAGGCTTAGTCTGACATGCTTTGGACATGTTGTAAGGAGGGACAGGCCCTTGGAGAGGGACATCATGCTTGGGAGCGTGGAGGGACGGCACAAAAGGGGAAGACCCCCTATGAGGTGGATTAATTCAGTGACTGGGCTAATCGGGAGGGGTCTGTCAGAGGCAGTGCGATTGGCACAGGATAGAGCACGGTTTAGGGCTGTTGTTCATAGGGTCATTATGAGTCACAGAAGACTAAACAGCACGCAACAACAACATATCTCTATCTATTTAATCTATCTAATCTATATCTAATCTATATATCTATATGTCTAGCTACATAAATAATTATCTCTCTATATCTAATCTATATCATATCTATCTATCTATCTATCTATCTATCTATCTATCTGTCTGTCTGTCTGTCTATCTATCTATATCTCTATCTATCTATCCACCAGCTGTAGCTGCTCCCCAGGAGAAGAGGAGAGGATGGGCAGTATTATAGTATTTTACTATTAGTGTTTCTGTCATTCTTACCTCTAAGGTTGTTTATTATTTATTAATCTCTCATTAAATTTCATGAAGCTAAACTTTAAAATGTATCAGAGTTTAGGGCTGTTGTACATAGGGTCACTATGAGTCACAAACGACTCGATGGCACATAACAACAACAACATCAATTTCTTGAAAAAGAAAATTCTTTCCATTTACTCTTTGCTGATAGAACTCTTAACAAACTTCAATACTCTGTTTACATAGAATCAGAACCTTGAGTTGGTAGTAATTGTGAATACCCTTACAGAATGATGATTTTTAGCAAGTATTTTTAAATGACATGAATTCATTTGTACCAACCACCAACTAGTATACTAGTAGCAAGTATTTAAAAAAATCATTTAGAAAGAACTGGATAGTGAAGGAGGAGAAAAACAGAGATTGAAAAGAGAAATAGAAGAAAATGTAATGAAATTTCAACATGATGCTTCTTAGACAGTGTGATAAAACTTAAAGCTCTAGTGTTGGAATTCTAAAAATGATCATATTCAACAGAAAGGTGCAAATTCAGTATAAGAAAGTGAGTTTTAGTCCTTTTCTGAATTTAGTTACACATCTCTCTCAGTTTACTTACAGGAAAATAAAATAAAGGGTTGTCCGTGTCCTTTGTGGCCCACCCATCTGTGATATGATCAGTGAAACTCTACTTGATTGTATTTGGGTATATATCTCTATTTATAAATTTATAATTAAACAACAATTTCCAAGCTCACTTAAATTACTTTAAAAGTGTTAGCCAGTTTTGAAATTTGTCATTAAATTTCCCAAATAAAACTGTTTCCCATCTGTGTGTACCTATTTAAGATTCAGGACATCCTTGAAGAGAATATAGCATGGTGATGAGAAACACTGCTTGCGTTTTCACCACTTACTATCTCTGTTACCTGGGGCAATTTAATCAATCTCTTTTTTGCCTTGCTTTCATAATTTGTTAAATGAAGGTACTCATAGTATTTACCTCAAGATTTTTTGCACTTCTTTTCTACATGTGAATGTTTATAACACTGACAGGCACTAAATAAAGGATCAATAAATGTTAGTTATTATTAATATTCTTGATTATTTCACTATGGGCATTTGATAATAAAGTAGCATTTGGATCCTAACAGTTTAATAATAAGAATATTATTTTTAAGTCTATCTCTTATAAATGCTCAATTTTGACAAGGAAATGTGCATTGTAAACATTAAATATTTTCTCTATTTTAATAATATATGAGTACTTGTCATAGTATGTATTTTGAAAACAGCAAATCATTACAAGGAAAAAATACATACTCATGAATCAGAGAGAACCGAAAACAATAAGACAAGAAGATTCACATCAGGAAGGAGAAAAATTATGTTTAAGAAATAAGTATACAAAAATAATAGGAGTATTATCAGGATGAGTGATGGTTCTTAAGAAATCTTCAAAAAGATTTATTTTCATGAAAGAGCACTGGAAACAGAACCTTCTAATGTTTCCTGAACTTATTCAGGAGCCCTCCTGTGAAGCCATAAATTAACACAGTGCCTATAGCAGAAAAGAAAGAATGAAAAAGACTAGGAAATGAAACTAAAAGGAGGAAAAATAAAGGAGAGAAGAGAAGAGGAGAAAGAGAGTGGGTGGAAGGGAAAGGATGAAAGGAAGAAGAGGAAAGAAAAGAAAATTGAAGGGAAAAAAGTATAGATTCTTCAGAGATTCTACTTCTGGTTAAGAAAGTAATAGCACAAGTCATAAAAATTCAAGTCCAAGTCCAAGCAAAAGCTTTAGTATTAGTCTGAAAATTGTCAACCTAATACACTTTATTCACAGAGTATTTGGTATCATTTCCAGTGAACTGGTTAATATGAAAGAACATGTACAAAAAGTCCTGATTTTTATTTTTAAGATTGTGATGACTGTTCTGTATACCCAAGTAATTGAGTTCTAGTAAGTTTGACAACAGCACACTGTTGAAGATTATGAGTGCATGAAATATTCTCTACGAGTGTTTTACCTACTTATTTCTTTAAGGCCTATTTTCTTATTAATATATAATGTTGGATATCACTGAGAAAATATTTTCTATTGACCCTTTAAATTATGTTTCTGTAAAAATTTGGCCTGTATGCTAGCTACGATAGTTACACTTATCAAGGATTGATGCTACAAAAGCTGGAAGATGATACTACTAGATTTTCAACTTAAGACATGAAATTAACATTTTTTTTTTAAAAAGTCAATCACTTCACATAGTTAATAAGAAAAGTACCCAAAAAAATTACTAAAATGGTATCCACAATAGCAACAATAGTCTCTATAATAGCTTACAGTTAGAGTTTTAAAAGTCTCTCAAAATGACAGTTAGCAAAGTATTTTCCTGATCACCAGTTTCTCTTCTTATGTTTACTTGGTCTGGTGACCTAGTGGTAAGAAACCTTGCTGCAATCCCAAAGACAAGCAGTTCAAAGCCATCTGCTGCTGGGTGGGAGAAGGATGGGCAATCTCCTTCCTTGTAATTTATTTACTGCCTCTGAAAACTTGCCTGGAGGGGCTGCCACCAGTCTGTTCCAACTCTAGGGCACACAATAACAACAACATGGTTGTAAGGAATTGTGCTGTCAACTCAAAGGAACACAACTTGAATCTACCAGCTGCTCCGTGGGAGAATCCTCTCTTGCAAATTTACAGCCCCTGAAAAACCTGTTGAGTGGTCAGCTATGGGGGTTCCTATTTGACAACACATTAACATCAGTGGAACTGCAAGGGTTTTGTTATATGTTAAACTATCCACAAATAAAAGCACATATCAATCCATTGTTTTAAAACTCTCAGGTACTTGAAACAATGTTGTTTTTATGATGTGTAACCTAGTCAGAATGACTCATAGCTGACCTTCCTGTGGGTTCTGAGGGACTGCCTTTCTCACTGGAGGAAATTGCTAATCTTTTTCTTTCAGAGTAGGAGGGATTCAAACCTACTCCTTTGGGTTGGCAGTGCAACTTCTTGGCCAGTAAGCCCACACACCAGACTTCCCTTGATAAGACACCTTTAAATTCTCCATAGCAAATGCAACTAAATTAATTATACATCTTTATTAACATGTTTCTATCAGGTGAGCGTGCTAAAGCCATATCCATTACATAAATTGTGTTTTTTTGTTTTCTAGCTTCATCTCGAGGGCACATAACAACAACAACAGCTTCATCTCACAAATTCAGAATTACTCTGATAAAATATATTTAAGACATTAACTCTATATAAATATATAAAGCAAAATATTAATGAGTGTCCTTGGTTAATTTTAAAGACTCACCACTTGCATTTTGTCCTTGGTCCTGAAAATCAGTGTATCTTTTAAATGCAACTGGATATCACATGATGTAATAAGGTACCTTATCAGTGGATCTAGGAAGAATTCCAAGGGCTGTGGTTTTTATCCTCCCACACAGGTTTTCTATCATCTCAGGTTTTGTTTGCTGTTTAGTATTTGTTTGTCTAGGTGATTTTTCATTCGAGTAAGTGTAGAACACCCAAAGTGTATGCCTAGAATATAAATACACTTAAAACAATTTCAATATCTCTAGTATGAAGATAATAAATATTCGAACATAAAGAAGAAAAATGTTATGCTGTCTTGATTATGTAAAACATGTTTTACATATTGATGTTACCCTGGATATTCCAATTTATGCATCCACATGCTTACACACTCACACACTTAAAGGGGAAAATCGCTAAAATTAGCTATTGGAATTTTTCTCCTTTTAGAAATTTATAATGATGCAATAAAAAAGTATTTCGAGGATTTAGGGTAACACTTATTTCCCTACTCATTAAGTTCTGTATAAAAGCAAGATAAATGCTGTGTTTAACTTTTCAGAGAATTCAAGACAAAGCTTTCTCACTTTCAGCAGTTGAAATTTTCAGTCTTTCTCTCAGCATACCCAAACATCATGTCTTTCCTCATTAGAAAAAAAATAGCCCTACATATTTCCAAACTTACTAAAAGAAAAAGTCAGGATTTTCCTCCTAACGATGAATAACTTTCAACAATGACAACACCAAAATACCTGAAAACATCTACAGGTCTACCCAACTGATTGCACTTCAGAGTCACTCTCCATTAGATTCCCAAAGCTATAAATCTATACGGGGGTAAAAGACTGTCTATTTTTCTTTCATGGAGCTGACAATGAGTTCCAATAACTGCC